AGCTGCTGATGATATGGTTACGTTTAAGCTTGATGTGGAGGAAACCACAGCTTCGGGATCCTTTATATTTCCCTTTTTTTTTACAATATGTGAAGAGATTCACAGCATAAATGATCTAAATGCTCCTTAAAACCTCACAGTCGTTCCCCTGGACCCTAGTCACAGTGCTAACGCTGCCGTCTCCTGTCCTCTATCGTAGGTTTTATCAGGTTCAGGCCGTCAGACTAAAGAGAATTCGACTTTCTTTAAGCACTGACAGCTGCTACGCTTTAAACATATTTATGTGCCAACTTATTGTTGTGTACTGTGCTCAGATACATGTTTTAGTTTTTAAATAAAATGACAAATATCTGACAGAAAGAGCCGTGTGTGTGAATGGGTGGATGACTGGATATGTAAAGCGCTTTGGGGTCCTTAGGGACTAGTAAAGCGCTGTATAAATACAGGCCATTTACCATTTACCATAAAAATAGCCAACGTGGTGTTTTTATGGTTTTACTGTGTCACATCAGCCCTAAAGGTTAACAACCACCTTTTACATCAATCAAAGTATTAATACAACAGGCACCTCGTAGTATTGTCAGTGTAATCACATGCTGTTGTGTGTACAGTCATGTTTCTACTGGCTGGTGCATGAACAAGTTCTTGTCTCTGTGATCTGTTCAGCTGGAAAAACAACGACTGATGAAGAGTTGGATGAGATGCTGGAGGGAGGAAACTCTGCAGTCTTCACAGCAGGGGTAAGCCTGCATGTGCATGCATGCGCACACAAACACCTGCAGCAAACCAGCGTCTTTGGCCAGAGGCACGAACTCTTAGTGGGTTGTGGAGCGCAGAGGCTGTTATAAACCAGGAACTATTGTCCTGCTGGTTTGTGTTTGATGGTGTCACTGTGATCTCCGCTCCACTGTCATTTAATGACATCTCCATGTGAATTCTCTCTGTGTGTTACATGAAAACTTGTCAGGGAAATGTCCCCTCACCCCCTGAGCCTGGTTCTGCTGGAGGTTTCTTCCTGTTAAAAGGGAGTTTTTCCTTCCCACTGTCGCCAAGTGCTGCTCATAGGGGTCACATGACTGTGGCAGTTTTCTGTCTGTAGGGATCTACTTTAAAGCACCTTGAGGTGACCGTTGTTGTGATTTGGAGCTGTAGACTGTTCTAGCACACGGGTCAGCACAACTTTCATTTCACAACTATTTTTAATTATAAGGAGAAATAATTAAGTCAGCTAATCAACAGAAAACAAATTGTTATGTATTTGATAGGCAGTGCAGTCATTCCATTAAATTCTCGGCTTTTCAAATGCAGTGATTCTCTGCTTGTCTCGGTGTGTGTTTGTTATGTAGGCACGTTTCTTACTATTTAGTGTCGTTACAGCAAACTGGGAGATGTTAGCTGGACTTACAGGCAGATGTGATTTGTTTTAACCTGTAGTTTGGCACTAGCAGACCCTCTGTTTGTGAACATCCACTTGTTTGTGGTGTATTCTTTTAAGTTGTGTGTCTCTGGTCACCTCACACTCCCTCCCCCACAGATCATGGACTCTAAGATCAACCAGCAGGCCCTGAATGAGATCGAGGCTCGTCACAAAGACATCATGAGGCTGGAGAGCAGCATTAAAGAACTCCACGACATGTTTGTTGATATTGCCATGCTGGTTGAGAACCAGGTTTGTGAGATCCTGCAGCCCAAAGTATTCTCGAGCATTCACAGTTCTCGATTAACAAACTATTCTCACCCTCTGAGCTGCACTTCTTCCATTTTAGCCGTGTTATAAAACATGAAGGCTTGCTTCTCCTTCTTCCACTTTCTGCTGACTTGCATGGTTTGTGAAACTGAATAGTAGCCCTGTTTAGTTCTACTGTACATAGAGTCGTGCACAGCACAAGTTATTCTTTTAAAGCTTTTCAACAGTAACTCGCCCTGTTTCCCCAAAAAGCCCATCTTGCACAGAGCTTGTTTAACTGTGACTAAGTCCTTTCATGACTGAAGCTTCAGTGTGCAGCCGATAAGAAAAGTCATGTGTTTCTGACACAGTGGGGTACGCTCCCACTTCCTGTGTAAACAGCAGACAGGCACAAATCTTACTTTCATTAACTTTGTGTTGTCTCTCGTGTTGTGTGCCCTGCTAGGGTGGGATGATTGACAGAATCGAAAGCAACATGGACCAGTCGGTGGGCTTTGTCGAGAGAGCCGTGGCCGACACCAAGAAGGCTGCCAAATACCAGCAGGAGGCCCGCAGGGTGAGTGCAGAGAGGAGAGAGGGACTGTGGCAATGCGTTAGTGCTCTGGGTCAGTGTTTCCTGTAACGATGGCATCGGCCTATCCTCGAGCAGACAAACCACTAGTGAAGGTTAGATGCTGAAGTTGCACACGCTGACTGTACCCGTGAGTAAGAAACACCTGCTGCTGTTCCTGCTGCAGTGCGTCTCTGAGTAGCTTACCATCTGAGCCATGTTCCTGCTACAGCATGTCACAGCGTGCTACAGCGTGCTACAGCGTGGTGCAGCATGTTACAGCGTGCTACAGCGTGGTGCAGCCACGTTCAGATCCTTCTGGGGAAAAATGTCTTTTTGTGAAGCAAACGGGTTAAACCTCACTGGCTTGTGTGCTCCGGTCACTTTGAGACTGTTGTGTTTTGGGCACTTTAGGGGCCTGTTCAGACCCTGGGGGCCTGGGCTGTAGATGTAGGGTGTGCTTTAGTCTTGCTCGGCCTGACCGGGAGTCATCTTGTTTAACGCCACCTTCTGTCTCTGACCCCTCCCCCCGAACCAACTTGTCTCTCCAGAAACAAATGATGATCTTCTGCTGCTGCGTGATTTTGGCTGTCGTCCTGGGTTCATTTGTCTACAGCTTCATCAAATAGAGACCCTAATGAAGAAAGTCTCCCACCATCTGAGGCCACGGGAGGCCGCAGGACACTCAGTTTGCTCTAATTTCATTACATATCAGGAACAAAGCGCCACATTTATGATCAGTTCAATCAGAAAAACATGACGATAGCTTTCTTCTTCATGGCCTCGCTCCAGTCTGTGTCCCTAACCTGTCCAATAACAAACTGAATATGACTGTGTGCACAAAACAGAAAAGAAAAGCTGGAGACCTTTCAGTGCAGCGACCGACACGTTAATAATCCCACCAAGAATGTCCACATCATAGGGCTACATGCATGTTTAATGTGTTAGCATCAGCTCATCATTACTTAGCTGTGCTCAGTGCAAATGTGTGTGATACGTCTTACCCTAACCCTGCTGCAGTTGATCTGCTGTGGAGCGATTTTTCAGAACCAAACTTGGAATTTGAAAATGTGCAGCATGAAAGGTCACCAACAATCAGGGCCAAGCCTGTGAATTACTGAGTGTGACTGCTAGCATGCTCCATTTCATTTTCATTCACTGATTTGTCCACTTATCATATCCATATTCAGGAAAGTGCACCTGATTTGTAAACAACTTTTGAATAATGCAGCCATGAAAAGCTTTTATTAGGAAGATTAGCTGTTGTGTTGCTGTGTAAGGAATAAACAGCAGAGGGTGTCCATTAATATTAGAGTGATTACAGCAGGTGCTGGTACCTGACACACCTGTGCTGTAGACTGCATCCTGCCCCGTGTCCACAGCAGGCCCATCGAGAGGCCTTTAGGATTCACAGTAAAAATCCACGTAGTGAGCTTTTAACCTTGAAGTGATTAAAAATGGCTCATCTTAGATAGTGTGACTCAGGAATTGATGTTCATTTTAAATGTGTAAGATTAGAAATACAAATCATTTGATGATTCAGGTATTTGGTTTAGATCGTTGTTATTTGTGTTTATTACGACTGAACTCTCATGTTTGTATAATGTGCTTGTGTGTCTGTTTTTATGCTTGTTATTCTGGCACTTGCTCTGACCCACACTGTGGTGTTGGATGCAGTACAGCCCACTCGTGAACTGAGAGCCTGCTCTCCTATATCAATATTTTTGAAAATGTGTATTCCAATAAAATTCCAATTGGAAGTTTTCTGAGGCGTCTGAACAAACTGATGGCAGACTATTTAGTTGCGCAGTGTGTTCAGAAAAATAACCTGGAAGATTTGTCCTGCCGGGAGAGGTCATCGATTATCGACAGGCAGCTGTTGTGTGACAATGAACTATCACAGATTTTATTCATGTTCAAATTTGATCCTAGGACCGCTAAATATCAAATTCCGGGGATTGAGGTGTGCATTCACAGGGACACGCTGTAAGGTCTGGTCTGCCGATGCTTCCAGCGCTTCATCGTTAGCTTCTTTGTACACGCTGTGTGTTTGTGTCTGCTGCTGACTGAAGGCCGTGGCTCTGAGCACGGCGAACTATTTGTAAAAGTGCATCGTTTGTAGTTTTCTTCACTTTTTGAATAAAAGTCAATCTGTCAGTTACTACACTTCCACTTCCATTTTATTTCACCATAGCGTTTGCCGACGTTTTCCTCTCGCTCGCCGTACTCAAGCTGTACGCGTTTGACAAACAGTCCCTGCCACCAATCACGAGCGCTACGCAACATTCTCCAGCCAATCAACAGTAAGCTGTTCAAAGTGCACTTCCATTTATGGGGCGGCGGGCACTTCCTTGTTGGGTTGAAGGCTACAAAACGTGTCCGTCCGCCGTGTGCCTCTGAGAGAAGAAAACAGGCCACAGAGGGCGTAATACGTCTCCGATTACGGCGGGTGTTTGTAAGTGGACGGATCTCCGCTGCGATGGGGGTAGGCATTTAAAACGCATTATTTTTGTGTAATCGTGTTATTTGAAAGTAATGACTAGTTGTATTGAGTGATAGACGGTGGTTATTGTGATAACTGTTAGCACGATTGGCTAGTTCTTATGACTGATTACGCGTTTGTCCACTAGTCGACCTGTTTTGACTATATCAACCAATTAGATGTGAGTTTGTTTTGGAAGTGTGCTGTTATTGGTTGCTTCCCAATTTCTTTATATGTTGATTGGCTGGCCATATCCAATCAGAAATTACAGCTCTTTCGCGTGAGTGGCACAGCTGTAGTCCAATGAAAGGGTCGTGGGCATGAGTGTGAATGGTCCAGTGTCCGTTTGTGGGCGGGGTATAGTGAAAATGGCGGCTGTTCGGAGAAGGAACTAACTTTATTACCATGCTAGGACTAAAGCAAGTAATAGTGCCAGCTTCTTGTTGTTTTTTTAAATGTTGATAGCCGTTCCGGAGTCATGTCGTTTTGTCTCTGTAGGGTAGTGACAGGGCAGCTACGTAAGCTAGAGAGGAGTGTGGCTGTTAAAAACCAGATAAAGAAGCTCGAACATTAAACCGTCCTGTCGGATTTTCTAAACGCCAGCGAGTCCGGCTCTGTATGCGACTAAATTGTAAGAAGTCGGTGAATTAGAGGTAGGCAGCGAGCCCTGCCAGGACAGCACAGTGACGGCTCCTGTGGGACCATCGCTGCCCACTGGTGTCTGTAGTGGCACTCCGGACCCGCCTTTGGTTCCATGAATGAAAATGGATGATTCCAAACCGCGCTGCAGCAAAAGACTGGTAAGTGTCGGGCAGATTCCAACACGCTGGTTCTGCTACCTCAGCCTGAGCCCTGTTTTCTGTTACAGCGGGAGACCACTGCAGGATGCAGGGACGCAGAGCAGTCTCAACGCTCAGTGTCTGCCTTCGGTCAAATCACTGCAACTTTATCTCTGAGCTTCAGGTTCACGTGCGTCTTGTGCAGTATCATATCTGACAAAGCTGCATCACAGTATGCGCCGGGTCCGTGAGGGTGAAGCACAGCGGGTGGTATTGTTGGAAGATATGCTGTAGAGCAGGGTGTCAAACTGAAGAGAGCTGTGGGCAACTCCCTCTCAAGTAACTGAGTCCTTTCATTGATCTACCAAATAAACACAGTGGTCCTCTCTCTGGCCAACACATGGCAGTTGCTACCGGGCAGGTGTGGAGTGGTGATAACCAGCACTTTGCTTTCATGTCCAAATTTTTTTCTCAAGTGTGTCTGTTTGTGAGTAAACAGACACGCCTGCTGCTTGCAGTTTTGTGTACCTGCAGACTTACTGTTCATGTTCCTTAGAAGTGTTTTGAAATCGTAGGCAAATTCATATACAGAACTTTGTTATTTACTGTGAAAATGCAGCTAATAAGGAGGTAATTGAGGGAAACTCTATAGTTAACCTTTTAGTACTTGTACATTATACAAAGGAAAATGCTGAATGACTTATAATGACCAACAGCCAAAAGTACTAATGAATCTGTGCCTGAGGCATCAGTTAATGAAGGGTGTGTGTATGTTAGTATGAGGGGTTAGGATAAGATGGCACCCAGCGCCTTTCCCCATCATTTTCAACTCCAGGTTTATTTTCTTTAAAAAGGACCTAATAAGGTAAGAGTCCTGAGGAACATGAAGACTGTGATGGACGCACGTTTCACACGCGGGTTCAGTGTACGTGTGTGATCAGTCTGTACCCCAAGTATCTGTTTGACATCATCAAAATAATGATGCAGGGCCAGGATAAATGTTGCAGCCAGCCAATGACGTCGCCTGAGCTTTCAGTTAGCATTATAAAAGAAGTCAGCAGGTGCTTAAAAAGAGTAACACTAGCAAACCAGCATGAGTGAAATAAGTTGGCTGTTAATTTATGTTGATAACTTGTTTATTAACACTTAGAGCTCGTGGTTTGCTCCAGAAGACTCTGCTATAAACAACTATACATCACAACTGGGGCAGGGCAATATGGCCAAAATACTTATCACCATATATATTTAAACATTTGCGATAACAAAATAACTGACGATATAATTGACACGAGACAAAATACTTTACATCTCAACTTTATTAGTGCAAAAAAAATCAATGTATTTTCACTTAAACAAGCAGCTGTTTGTTTGTATGCACATTAAAGTTGTATAAAAATGTAACAGTGCAAATTCGTTGCTGACAGTTTAACCAATCTGTCAGCAAGACAATCCATCCAGTGGTGCGGCTTCATAGTTCAGCAAAGTCGTACTTTGATAGATTCTTGAGCGCCGTGTTCGGTAATAACGACGGCCCGCTAGCATGCGCTACCAAAAACAGTGCTTTGTTGTGTATCTGACGGACGAAAGCTAAACCAGTTCCACACCACTGAAGCTGCAGCATTTTTACAAACCAGTTCTGGTTCGTTTCATTCAACGATCCACTTTCGCTCTTGTCGTTCTCCGTCGCTGCCATGATTGTTCCTCCATGTGCGTATGTAAACAAAGGCACTGCGCATGCGCGTTTTACCCATATTCTATCGCCATATTTCATTTTCTTATTATTGCCCAACATTACACCGGTATTCCCGTGAACGGTACGATATGGCACAGCCCTAATCACAACAATGTGATGATCAGTTGCAGTCTCGATCCTGGACTAACATGATGATGATGATGATCACACATGCCTCTTCCTCCCTTTGCTGGAGTTCACACCTGTGCACGTGAATCCGATTAAGTTCTGTGTGTACTTGTCTCCGTGTGTCGGCCCCGTGGTGCGCTGGTGTCCTCTCGGTGTCTCCTGTGGGAGGCTGCAGCCTCGGGCCCAAAGTCGGATCGTTTTGAGGACAATGAATCTATTAAAGTGCTGATTTTATAGTTCCTGATGCGTCACGATGAAGCCGTTTTCATCTTCTTGGTCAAAAAGAATTGAGGTGGGCCCTAACGTGGACTGTCATTCAAGCCCATTTCATTTATACCCATTCAGTACTCAGTAGCTGCTGTCAGGCCTAGGATACGACAGAGGTGATCCCTGTGAGTGAACACTTGGCAGTGCTGGGAAGCTTCCCCTACAGAACCTAATGCTCATGAACCATAATTAGTTTTCAGATATTTGGCACGAGGCTGTAGAAATGGTTACCTATTATCCTTTTAGCTGCCACTCTGTGAAGCGCCACTTTGGACTTTTTCTTTTGCGGTTGGTTTGATAAGAAGGACTGTCCAGTTTGGGTTAATGTCCATCCAAAGCACTTCAGTCCTCTGTCTTTTACCATCCCTCTTACTCTGTTCTCCTCTCTAGCGTGCTCGTAACCAGCAGCGTTACCATGATGATGGCATCTCAGATGAGGAGATTGATGGGAGGAGGATGTTTGACCTGGAGGAGAAGGTTAACAGTGAGAGGTTCAGCTCTGACCGAGTGCTTCGCATGGATGGAAAAGGTTGGTGTGAACACTGTCTCCATCGTTCTCTCCCAAAGGGAGGGAGTGTGTCCTGGGTTCTGTCCGTCCAGCAGTCCAACAGCCACACCCACATCAACATATTACGTTCAGCGTTTGTGTGACAGTAGACATCAGCTGATTTAACTGGGTCAAGGTCGTATCACATGGTAAAAGCGCTACAGATGACACTACCCATAATTTTTGCCCGTAGCAGCTCACACTAGGGGACCCTGCAGTTGGGCAGAAACGATCCCGTCTGCAGAGTCTGTGCACTGTTAAGCTCTTACCAGGTGCGTTGTTCGGCTCGTCCACATACCTGTTGTTGCAGATTGGTTCGATCCTCGCAATATAAACTAGGCCACTCCCCTTGTCAAATCAAACCAAATGACTTTTATTGTTGTGTGTGTGAGAGAGATGGCTGGACGTGTACAAACACACTGTATTCGTAGGTATAGTGTCTTTGTGTTTCTTATATGGGTTTAAGCTTTGAGTCTTTGCGTCTGAGCTTTATTTTTCAGAGCCTGACGCTTTTTTCTTTGCTTCTTAGAATCTTATAGCGAGGGAATATTTAAATGAAGAAACATGTCTTATAAAGCAGCAGTCGTTGCTGCACTGAGGTGGTGTCACAGAAATTTGAGAGATCGTGCTTGAAGAGTGAGATATGCCAGTTTATTAGGATGCCACACAAAGATGTGCTTTCAGGACCCTGGACAGTGCACACGGTGTTCACTGTGATGTCATGAGCTGTGCTCATACATGTGACTGTAAAAGGTCAGCTGCATGCACTCTGACATCACCTCCCCGTGAAATCTGCAAATCCCAAGAAACCTAACACACCAGTCACAGAGCGTAGAAATAAACTCGTGTCAATCTGGCGTTTGTGGAGGTTTTATCTGGTGGAAGGATGGAAGCTGGCCTAATATAAGAAACAACAGTACTGTCCTAATTATCCATAGGACAGTACTTCTTGTCCTATGGATTACAGTCCTGTGTTGAATGACGCTTGTATATTTCTCTGCAGACTTTACATACGCATTCATTCAGAGAGGTGGTCTGAGGGACCCCGTCGTTTTTGAGAAGCCTGATGGACTGGGAATCAAGTAGGCCCCTGTGTAACTTCAGTGTTATTAAATACGTCTATAAACTGAGCTGATGTAATGATGTTGTGTCCTCTGGTTCTGCAGGATGCCAGATCCTGACTTCAGCGTCAATGACGTCAAGATGTTTGTCGGTAAGGCTCGTTCAGTTACACACTGCTACTAAGCATCAGCTTCAGTCCTGGCTTTGCCTCGCTGTACAAACGCAGTGATTTAGGTAATAAATGCTGTAATTACACACTTATTTAAAATACGGGGTTTTCTATTAAAAACAAAGAAGAAATTGAACCTAATTGTTGAAAATAACTGTCAGTGATACTAATTAGAGGTGATTTCTAACTGAATCATGTCCATAGGTGTACAGGTAGCTTCAGATTAGCACAAACTGAATTTTATTCATATAGAGCCATTTCAGCCAATGAGCCTGTATGTGAAACACTCACTGCTGATCAACTTAAGGACAAAATGATAAATAAAGTCATTACTTTGAACGTTGTCTTGATGCTCCTCACTCAGTGAGGTTTCTGGAGAAGCTCGACATCCGCCCAGCTGTTGTGAGCAGCCTCTTGTGTCACGCTGTGTCTAACAGAAGGCTCCCCTCTCAGGTAGCAGACGCATGATAGATGTGATGGATGTGAGCACTCAGAAGGGGACCGAGATGTCCATGGCCCAGTGGACACGTTACTATGAGACCCCCCCGTGTCAGAGAGAGAAGCTCTATAATGTTATCAGCCTGGAGTTCAGCCACACCAAACTGGAGAACTGGGTCAAGAGGCCTGCCACAGTATGTACCTGCAGGCCTGTTTGACTGGAACTGCTGACAGGAAATAAAAACCTTTAAAGTGATTTTAATCTGTTTGTTTTTTCTCACTGTTTGTATTTTGTCTCACGTTTGCACGTGTAGGTCGATCTGATCGACTGGGTGGACAACATGTGGCCTCGGCATCTGAAAGAGAGACAGAGAGACTCGACTAACTCTATCAATGACATGCAGTACCCCAAAGTACAGAAGTAAGTGTCCTGCTGTAGGCAAGTGTGGCGGCAGGATGTGAGCCGTGATGACGATGATGTCTCCACAGGTACTGTCTGATGAGTGTTGAGGGCTGCTACACAGACTTCCACATCGACTTCGGTGGGACTTCAGTATGGTACCACATACTGAGAGGGAGCAAGGTGAGGCCACGAGGGGCCGGCTAAGAGACGATCTCTTTCCCGTTACAGCTTCGGGTCAACGCATAAGTCCTGTCAAGTATAAAGAACAGGCTAGAAGGGGAGGGGCCTCCTGAAAGTGTCTGTTTTGTCCCACAGCAGAGCACAGTGAATTACACTTTTGTTTGCAGGTGTTTTGGCTGATTCCTCCGACTCCTCAGAACCTGGAGCTCTATGAGAACTGGGTACTGTCAGGGAAACAAGGAGATGTGTTCTTGGGAGACAGAGCGTCTGACTGCCAGAGGGTTGAACTGAAGCGGGGCTGCACCTTCATCATACCCTCAGGTACACACTGACGTGCACTCACTACCTGCAGAAGCAGTCCTGTGGTATTATAATCACTGTGTGCTACAGGTTGGATTCATGCCGTTTACACCCCGGTGGACTCGATGGTCTTTGGAGGAAACTTCTTGCACAGCTTTAACATCCCCATGCAGCTCAACATCTGTAGCATAGAGGACAGAACGCGGGTAGGTGAGCAGGCTCTGCATGAGCTGCTGAATGAACGTGAATAGACTTTAATCTTTTTACCTCCTGCAGGTTCCAGCGAAGTTTCGTTACCCCTTCTACTATGAGATGTGCTGGTACGTGCTGGAACGCTACGTCTTCAGCCTGACGAAGACCTCCTACCTCACCCCAGAGTTTCAGAAACACTCCCTGGGCATTGGTATGTACACAGCCCGCAGTCACTGCCCACTGGGGGACACACATGCGTGTTGTGTGGGCCATACTGGTCAGTTCTGAGTCTTTCTTATTTCCTTCATGAAGGTCTGAAGAATCTGTGTGGCTCAGATCCAGTCAGTGAGCAGCTGAAGACTGAGGGGGAGGGTGTTGGCAGTGAGGAAGACTCTGAGAAGCTTCCACTTAAGGTCCACCTGACCCCCCTTGAACTGGAGGGACTCTGGAACCTGCTGGGTAAACTGGAAGCTCTGCCCTCTAACAAGAAGTGTGTCCCAGCAGGGATACACAACGCCCCGGCGCTCATCACACACATCAAGGTATCGCTCGTCTGTATGTCGTCGTGGAGCTCCATGTGAGCCTCGCGGTTCTTTCTGTCACGCTCATGTCTCTGCTGTCCTGCAGGCACTACTGAAGGAGCACGCTAATGACAATCCCAGCATGTCGTACACAGGACGGCCCATCGTCAGGTGGCCGAAGAGGGTAAGCGGTCTTTATTCACCAACAGACTGCACACTTGTCATGGTAACCCTGCCTCTGGTCCGTGGAGCACTCCGTCTGTGCAGAGAGAGACTGAGTCACATGAAGGAGGTTTATGATCCTGTCCACAGTCCTGTGAAGTACGCCTCGTGACTCGGTAGTTTTTAAACCTTTAACACACATAACAGTTTCTGTGTGTGCTGTTCATTTAACTCTGCGTTACAGACACTGATTGCAGATCCTCAGCTCTGCACTCTGAGCTGTTTGTGCCGACTGTGGTCATAATACACAGCACCAAGTTTGGACACGTGCTAACACGTCCACTCTGGTCTCGTCTGTCCAGCAGAGCTAACCGTGCGTGCGCCAAAGATGTGTGTCAATCGAGCGTCCAGATGTTTGTTCGGACATTACGAGCAGTCGTAAAAGTCCCTGTGACCAGCCGTGCAAACGGACCACAACAACAACAAATTATTTATATAACGATAACATGCACATAAAGCCAATATTCAGCTCTTTTTCTTTTTCTTTCCCCCATCTGTTTTCTTATGCTTCACGGGGGGGGGGGGTCACCCACCCGGGTCACCTGGAGGTAAATGTGTTTCCTTATACAGCCGGACTGGGTAGGATGACTACCAGATGTTTAGTCGTTCGCACACTTGTTCTGTCCTGACCTTTAGCGATTGATGGTGCATAAGCTCTGATAAGAAGAGAAGCAGCAGGGAGGAGGGAAACGGGAAGGCCTCAGAGGAGGTTCATGGATGTAGTGAAGGAGGACATGCAGGGGGTGCTGGGACAGGGTGAGATGGGGGCTGGTGGTCCGCTGTGGCGGCTTCTGAAGGCAGCATGTATACTTCCTGTGTCATCGTACCAGCTTCCACTGCTAATGTCCGTCCCAGTGTGCTGGACTGCTGGTAACTGACTTTGAACAATCCATCAAGTCCAAGTGATCAAAGTCATTTTCTAGTGTAAATAATTAACCCTCATTCAAATTCAAATTTTATTTGTCACGTACACAGTCATACACAGTACGATATGTAGTGAAATGCTTGGACAACTGCTCGTGACCTAAAGAAAACAAAAAAGGAAAAGGCTATGAATAAGATAGGAAATAAATATGAAAAATTAAAAAGGGTAAATTTAACTAGGAAGGAATAAAATATAAATTAAGGTTAAAAATGAAATAACTGTTCAACACAAATTAGAATGAAGGGTAAATTTAACTGGGAAGAATAAGATAAAATATATAAATTAAAGTTGAAAATAAAATAACTGTACAACAAAATACACAATATAGAACTATATAAGAATGTATGAAGAAATCTAAATATAAATAAATATATACACAATAACAGCAGCTGTACAAGTATTAACTGGAAATGAAGAATATAGTGACCAGTGTTGTGCAAAAACAATGTCCAGAAAGTCCAGTGTGTGTGTAAGAACTATATGTGTGGGTCAGTACTGTGTGGTGGTGTGATTGAGAGACCGTATCGCCTGCGGGAAGAAGTTCCTCCTCAGTCTCTCTGTGTTGGTCTTCAGGGAGCGGAATCGCTTTCCTGACCTCAGCAGAGAGAACAGTCTGTTGTTGGGATGGCTGAGGTCCTTCACCATCTTCCTGGCCTTGGTCCAGCACCGCCTGCTGTAGATTGAGTGCAGGTCAGGGAGCTCGGAGCGGATGGTGCGCTCAGCTGACCGCACAACCCTCTGTAGAGCTCGTCTGTCCCTCATAATGTCCTCCTGATTTCCACACAGCTGTGGTCCTCAGGGGACAACAATGTCCCCATCTGGTTTGACTGATGCATAATTAATATGAAGTTTGTTTTTCCCACACTTTTAATTAAAACTTAATTCAAACACAATTCCTTTTATTCCATTTCAAATGTAAGTCTGATAAAAACCTCATAAAAATGAATTTTTTCTGTTTTCGGGTAAAAAATAAATTAAATCATCAGAAATCATGAGGATCGTTTCACAACCAGAGTCGGCTGCTTTAACAGATGATCACAGACGGGTTTATGTCAAAGTTAATTTAGAAAGCTGTTTTTAAACTACAAGTTTTTTACTGGCAGCACATAATCACATCTGTTGTCCTCTGGGCTCAAAAATGACCCTGTTTGCTTTGACTGTTTATCAAGCAACAAGTATAAAATATCATCCATCTCTGTGTTTCAAGGTTTTATTCAACTTTATTCCAACTCATTGCCTGACAGTTTTCTATATTTTGGCATGGTAGGAGGGCATGAGTCTGAGTGAAGGCAAACTTTCATGAGGACAAAGGCGTGTCCATATTTGACCCAAGTGCAGGAGGAAGCTCAGGTTTATTCCTCTGCACTGGTCCCATCATGGACAGCATTCTTTCTGCAGTTGCAGGCCAAGGGGCATATACAGTAAACAAGCTGTTACAGGTGATTGTTTTCTTTTGGAAACCTGCAATGTTAGGGACAACTCGTGTCCTGACTGCAGGACAGACGGTTTGCCATCGCACACGAGCATGTTCCATGTACAGCTGGACCTGCATCACATGCTGCCCATGTTTTTGTCTCAAAGTTCCCTGGTTTACTTGGATGTTCTGTTGGACAGAGTCCTCTGAAGGGGACTTGGTGCTCATACAGTCACATCAGTACCAGGATCTTACATCACAGCAGGAGGAACACCCACTTGTGTTTCAAGTCAAGTCAACACCAACACACATCATACACCTCACAGGAGCACGTTTGTGTCATGAACGACGATCATCTATTGTGTCTTTATCAAGAAATTATGTCCTTTTTGTGCTTCTATGATTAATCTTGTGTCACCTTTAAAACTTCTCTACCAGACTCAGGATGTCATAAACTGGCCGTAGCGACTCTACTGGATGCGCGGCAGTAAGAATCAACACACCCACATATGCCTACAGCTGCATTCGGTCCATTTTTCTTCCTCTCTTGTTGTCCCTCCTTGTTCATCATTGAGTTGGCTGTAGAGCAGGTCATCTGCTAATTGGATGGTTGTTGGTTCAATCTCTGTGTGCTCTAGTCTGGAGTTCTTACCAAGGTGTCCTTGGGCAAGTTACTGAACCCCAACTTGGTCTCTGATGCATCCATTGGCATGTGAACGTTAAAAAGCAGAATACAAGCAGAATACACTGTGTATAATGCTTTCAGTACTCGAGTAGAAAAGCCACTGAAGGAGTATGGGACCTGGCACATGTGCTTGGACTGTGGTAGATCATCTTTCTCTGAGGCACATGAGAGAGTCAGGCATCGTCTGTCACTGGGAAGGTTAGAAGACCAGATCAGTGTTTCCTCACGTTACTGCAAATATTCCTCTGTCTCAGCTGATTCCTCTTTCCTGCTTGATTCTTTGTCTTCATCATAATTGAAATGGATGATGTGTAGTCCTCTGACACATCTTCTATTTCAGTTTCACATTCTGAAAATTCAAGAAACTTCAAGAAGCCCAGTCACTTTCTCTCCAAGCTCCTCAGACTACCATGTCCTGGATGCCTGAGAACCTACTTGAACATAGTTCAGATTCTTCATCACTTTTCTTCACTTCATAGCCTTCTTCCACTTCTGCAGGTGGCTGATGTGCTTTTTCAGAGAAAGGGTAGCATGTGCTCTAAATATTGACAATATTTTCTATATCTTCTAACCCTGGATCTTCCTGAACAGTGATTCTCCCTCCTCATTATATTAAAGACAATATGTGCTTTGTCCTACTGGTCATTGCTTTGCACAACATGGTTTAAAAAAGTAGCTCACAGGCCTCCAGAGCAGTGGAGGCCTGTGAGCTACTTTGTGTGTATGTATTATTGTAGGGTCGACCTTACAATATGAAGCACCTTGATGTGACTGTTGTTGTGATTTGGCGCTGTGTAAATAAAACTTAATTGAATGTTGTTGTGGTTGTTGTGACCTTTGCTTGAGCCCACACATCAGTGATCCAAGATCAAAGGTGTTTGAAAGCAGTAGGTTGTTTGCAACACCTTGTACTTTGGGGACTTTTGTCCTCGAGGACCACAGGTGTTATAAAAACCCCATAAATAAATGAAATTACTTAAAACTTATTCCAGTCATGCATAGCACAGTAATGAATAACTTCTGTTATTTTCAGACCATTTGATGAATGAAAAACACATTTTTGATAGCAAAAGATTTCTTTAGAAGACCAATGTCCCAAGGACAACACATTAAAGTGTTTTTCTCTTATGCTTCCAGCCATCATGGTACCAACCTCCTCCCCCTCCCCCACCACCACCTCGCCCTAAACTGTCCTCCACTCCCATCACTCCACGACCTCAAAAACCAGCGTCTTCCATGTCCGTGTTGAGACGGCGCAGGGTCAGGTAAGGAAGTCGTACCTGTGTCAAACCTTTTGTTACTTCAGTTCATATAAAAACACGATGCAGTTTTTCTTCATATTTAAGACAACATACCAAATGTTTTAACTATTTACAGTGCAGTGAAATGATTTTCATGTTTGGATTTCATTATGTGCCACAGCCCCGTGCTTCGTTTTAAGCCATCCTGTTCTGTCCTTGTGTGTGTGCGCGCAGGTGTAAACGCTGTGAAGCCTGTATGAGACCTGAGTGTGGAGACTGCAACTTCTGCAGAGACATGAAGAAGTTTGGAGGCCCAGGGAAGTTAAAGCAGACCTGTGTCCTACGACAGTGTCTCTCTGTTAGTAACTCGGTCCTTTTTTTTATTAGTCATTGTCTTTGTAATTAGCAACATGTATGCGTGTGTGAGATACTTGACGACCCGTCTCTTCCAGCCGGGCCTGCCTCTGTCTGCGGTGTGTGAGATCTGCAAAGAGCCCAATCAGGAGGAGACCGGAGACCCCTCCCTCACTCTGATGGAATGCTCCAACTGTGCCCAGATCGTCCACCCTGCCTGCCTCACAGTACGACACACGGAGCATATAGCAACTCAGTGGGATGTGCTCGTCTTGTTGTTGACAGTTCAGCGCTCGTAGCCTCGCTACATCTTAAATAGAAGCTGGATCCTTAGTAACTATGACCGTAACTTCGTAACTATGACAGCATGTCTGAAGGCACAAACATGAAGGTTCCAGGTTGTATTGAGGCTACGTCCACACGTACACGGGTATTTTTGAAAACGGAAAATCTCCGTTTTCAAAAATACCCGTGTACGTGTGGACGTAGCCTTAGATTGTGACTCAACTGTGTCTTTCTTCTCATCAGTCCTGTGTGCTAGCATGAGTAACTGTCTGCATGTTTGTCTGCAGGTTCAGGGGGAAGGCGTGGTGAATAAAGACCTCCCGAGCTGCTGGGAGTGCCCGAAGTGTGTGCAGGGCATCACTGATCCAGAGGTACACAATGCATTAATTAGCCACTGTTACAGCCTGGGCGCGCGCGCGCACACACACACACACACACACACACACACACACAGTGTGACAGATCTAATGGGCTTATGTCTCCTGTTTGTTTTTCATTATTATTATTTATTTTTGACTTTGATTTAATTCCGTCACAGTCATCAGGCAGTGATGAATCGCTGGCTGCTGGCCACCAACAGCGTATCCGTCCCCACGGCCCCCTGGTCCTCAGGCTGGGTCCGGGGCCCTCTCCTAGCGTAGGGGGTCCTGTGGGCCCCATCAGGACGGGGAGGTTGTCCGCTGTGGTTTCTTCCCTGCTCCTTCTCTTCCTTCCTGCTCTTCCTCCTCAGCGTCACTTCTCTTGGTGGCGGCCCCTCTGCCTTCTCAGCCAATCAGCTCGAGACTGGTGAGAGGTGCCGCCTGTTTGTGCATAAATCCACCCGTCTGTCGCTTACATCACTCCTTTTTCTTTGCCATCTTTTTTTTTTCTTTCTTAAGAGAAGAGACACAAAGCTTGGTCTAAAGGATGTCAGCGAGTCAGTGCCCCGGGCTTAGTGTCCGTGCTGGGACGCAGTGAGGGTCTCATCCTGACTCCAGCTGTAAAGCAGCAAATATCCGTTTATGGCTGCACACATATGTTATACTGAGGGTCTGTATAATTAGCCTATGACACACTGAGGTGTTTTATATAAATACAAACGTGGTTGTTGGTGTTCTGTGGACCTGCTGAATCAGCACTGACTGACGTTCTGTGAACAGGAAATGGATATTTTGAACCATTTCCTGCGAGCGTGCTAATCATTCTGCTGCTCCCAGCATCGGAGAGCAGTAAACAAACACGAGTACCCTCTGCATCGTCTCATTGCGCTTGTGTTCAGTGACAAATGGCCTTTGTGTGAAGCTAGATAGGTACTGAGTCAAAAATGAGTGTCTGATCGTCAGCGCTAATTCTGTGGTTGTGGTGGAGGTCGCTCTCAGCTCGATAAATGCCGACTGTGACAGGATTTCATGTACATGTCTGATGGTGTGCACACCGTGAGCACTGATTGGTCCATGTAAAAGCATGCTGATGTGTGGACGGGTTTGTAAGGGATTAAAAAAACCATGTTTGTGTTGTTCCAGTGTTTGATCGAGATTTTGAGTTGAGCTGTTGGTCGTTTCTACTCTGAAAGAATCCATTTTGTCTTTGCAGCAGCCTAAAGGTGACCGAGGTGACAGCCTTCCACTGGTGAGTGTTCCTCAGATCCCTCCTCTAAGATCATTTGTTATGTCTCCCATCACTTTGATTATTCCTCCCACGCTGTCCAGAAAAGGAAGTCCTCCTCTCTGCTTGACGCTCGTATGGCTAAGATCTACAGACGCCAGCGCCACAGCCGCGATGGAGAAGACTCCGTCAGTGACGATGACGATGAAGGTTTGTGGCTGTTAAAATCTGTTTTCATCAATTCAGTTAGCGACAGCATCAAGAAAACAGAGTTGATTCTTTGTTCTTCCACGTGCAGCCTCTCAGAGAAGAAAGATGGCACTTCACGCTCGGGGTGGGACTCACTCTTCCAAGAGGGCCTTTGGCGCTAACAGGAGAGGCCTGCTGAGAGGAGGCTCGACCCACAGAGGCAGCAGAGCCGGGCTCGTGAGTCCGGGATCATCTTCTGTCCTCAAGCTCAAGCGAGGGGTTGGCATGAGGGACGCTGGACGCCGAGGACGAGGGGTCAGGTTGCGCGGAGGTTCCAGAATGCAGCGAAGAGGAGATGAGTCTGACGAATCTGACGAGGACGACGATGACGACGAGGATGATGACGACGAGGACGAGGACGACGATGATGATGAAGAGGATGAGGAAGAGGAGGACAGCGAGGACGGAGATAAAGAACAGCATCGTCGACACAGGAGACGGCGCAGGACCGATGATGATGAGGATGAAGACGTAGACAGCGAGGGGCAGTTTGACCCTGAAGAGGAGGAGATGGACACTCTGGAGGATGATGAGGAGGAAGAGGTGGAGGAGGAAGGCCGCTGGGATTCGGACCCAGAACCTCCGGTCCTGCTGGTGTCTGATCTGAGCGATGACCTGCTGAGTGGCTCCTACCTGACGGTGACTCTACAGCGCCCCAACAAGGCCAAGAGACAGTGTGGTAAGAAACCAGCACAGCAGCTTAGGATTGGCTCACATCTGCAGGCGCAGCATGAGTAACAGAAGGCTCTTTTCATGCCTCAGGCTCCATAGTTCCAAAGCTGGAAGCAGCCATGGGCCCGAGGACTGCTGCAGGGCAGCAGGGCTTTATTCAGAGAAAGGGCGCTCTGTCCAAACCTGCACGGCTCAGGTGCACAGACCCCGCGGCTGACAGCATAACCCCACGAGGACCCGGCAGGTAGACTTTAGCACATATTGAGCTTTCGTGTCACGTGTTGGTGTTCCATCCATGATTCAATGATGTCCGATACCTCTGAGCAGTCCTGGGACAGTCAGCTGCTGTGCTCATGTGGCAGAGCAGGCTGGCGGTTCCACCAAATAACCTTGGGCAGGATACTAACCCCATGTTGCTCTCTGATGCATCCATCAGAGTGTGAACGTGTGTGAATGTTAGGCAGTTAGAATGAGTGCTTGTGTGAATGGGTGTATAAAGCGCTGTATAAGAACCGGTCCATTCACCATGATTGGGCTGTCTGCTGCTGGCCAGCTCTGCACAGTCCACTGTTTAAAATATTAAACGACAGTCACTGGATAAAAGCACAGAAAAGAGGCCAGAGTGGAGATCTTATTGGGGATGAGGCTGTTTGGATGTATGGTGAACATTAGATGACCAGACTCGGTCCATAACGGAGTGACTCAGCTTTTTCCTGCCCGTGTCAAATGTGCGTGATTGTATCGCACATAAGAACTACGCTGTGCTGTGTCGTCATAGGCCTCGCCTGCGTGGTAGCCGTGGTGAGAGAGGCGCTCGAACTCGCTCCGCGTCTTCTTCAGAGGAAGAGGAAGCTGCTGCTCACCCTGCGTCCTCCACCCTGTCTTCTCCATCGTTGCCGTCTCTGCTCTCCTTTAAGGATGTGGGCAATGAGAGAGGCGGGGAGAAGGAGGTCTGGGTGTCTGTGTTCAGATACTTGAACAGAGCTGAGCTGCTGGCCTGCATGACTGTCTGTAAGGCCTGGTACAAGTGGTACGTTACCCTCGCGTCACCTTGTTCTGTACATGCAAAGCTCCGTGCTGCTTATGAAACGACCACCGCTTCCTCCCCTATGCAGGAGCTGTGACAAACGTCTGTGGAGCCACTTGGATGTGAGTCGGTGCAACCCGCTCAGCAATCAGGCCCTCGCAGGCATTGTCAAACGACAGCCCACCTCTCTGGACCTTTCCTGGACGCCCATGGCCAAGAGACAGCTGAACTGCCTGCTAACGAGACTCCCAGGTACGAACGCGCGGCGTCCCAAAGCGAATGTCTCCTGTCCTGGAGAGTCTTACTAAACCTTTGTTTGTGTTCAGGTCTGAGAGAGCTGAGTGTGACTGGTCTGCCCTGGTCCTGTCTGTCGGCAATGGTTTCTCCCACTCTGCCCCATCTACGGCTGCTAGACCTGCGCTGGTGCGACGGCGTCACAGACGCCCAGATTAAAGAGATCGTCACGCTGCCTGGTCAGTGGCACGGTGGGCTCAGTGAGCTGTGTTTCACCCCACTCCTCCTCCAAGCACTGGGAGGGGCTGCACTGCCACTGCTTGAAGTTCAGTGGCCGCACTGCCGAGCAGCTCGGGACATGTTCTTTAGTGTGATTGTGATCAGCTGAAAGCTTGTGATTGGGTTTGTTTCATCAAGCACAAAATGTTTCCAGGTGTAACCAGCAGAGATCTAAAGAAGCACAGAAACCTTCCTCCAGACACATGTGACCAAATCAAAAGTAGTAGTAGTACACCTGTACAGCTCGTGGGATACTGTGTGATCAGAATACAAGCCAGAGTCTGCTGTGTGTGTGTGTGTGCGCGCAGGTTTGGAGTCATCCCGCAGCAGACTGAGGAACATGGTGACGCTCCGCCTGTCCGGTCTGGACATCACTGAGTCCACTCTGAGGCTCCTGCAGCGCCACATGCCGCAGCTGGAGAGGCTGGACCTGGCTCACTGCAAGGATTTAACAGACTCCTCGGTCGCCCTGTTGGCAGCAGCTGGGACTCACACACGCAATAACCTCACCGAGCTCACGCTGGCAGGTTTGAACAAACACACTGATCACTGTTGGCTTTTTCACACACCCGAGTATAGGAAGGCTGCTGTTCCATTGGCAGACCCTCATCCCTTTGATTCCTGCAGGAAACAACTTCTGTTGGCCACTAATGATGACACGTGGTCGTTCATAGCTGCTCTTCTTTCTTGATCCAAAGCCTGAAAATCATATGAAGACATTAAATGTGTGTCTGTGTGTGTTTGAAGGCTGCAATGAGCTGACCGATGGCTGCCTGTCCTATCTGAAGCGCCTCTCCTCTCTGACCCTGCTCGACCTCAGAGGCTGTAAAGGCGTCAGCAGACGAGCCTGCGACGCCTTCATCTCCGACCTGTTCCACGTAGCTGTCTACTGCATGATGGAGGAGAAACTCATCCAGCGCCTGGATTAACATGAGCACACACTAAACACAAACATTTTATTTATGATCACACAAGCTGCCGACGTTGGACTGAAGCATTAAAGCTGCCAAAAAGGCTGCCTTCAAGTCCCCGTGTCATCTGATGTCATTGTTCAAGCATTTCTGTTAGTCTGGTCTACAAGAAACACTTGTACGCTTGAAACGTGTTATCTGCAAATGCTGCCAAACTATCACCAGGAGATCAGATTGTTCCCTGAATCTCGAGTTACTGCCTGAATACGAAGCTCTGTTACGTTTGCGTTTCCTTCATGTCTAAAATGTTCACCTAACGTAGAACCCCTGTTTTTGTTCAGGGGACTTGGGAAGTTAAAGTCTTGGTGGTCAGTGTTTTGCTCTTCTGCGTCTTAACACTGATTGCCTGTGTACATATGTTGTTTGTTTCATATATGACAGTGTAGCATATAAAACTTTAAGAGTCCACGTTTCTGTGCCCATTTGTTAAGCACTGTGTTTACAGATGTGCCGAAACAGCCGGTGTATCTGATGAATTGTGCCCCACATGGAAACATTGTATCAGGGAGCTGCAGCGTGGCCACCAGCTCAGCGCCTCCAGCAGGCACCCACATATGCACTGACACTGCTTCATATCTGATTAGTTGGGCTGTTTTCTGAGTTTGCAGTGTGTCAAGACTACTGCAGGTTCAAAGGGTGAGGTGTTCTGATAACAGACTTTCCAAGAACTATCCGTCAGTCTTCATCCTCCTATCCAGCACTAGAAGTCCAGACCTCCGTCTTATCCGGGTGAACATCAATGAGTTCCCAGGCCAGCTGAGAACTCTCCAGCATGTTCTCGGTCTACCACAGGGCCTCCCCGAGTAGGACACGCCCGGCAACAGGTTAGGCTTTAGAGGATTAAAGATGGGAACCGTCCCAGTCTGCTAATCCAGAGAGATCCATGCAATGTTGCACTGGGGTGTCAGCCCATCCAGGGCCCACACACTCCTGTCAGCACCAACTTACTCAATGTCTTCTCTTATATAGTGGTTTTCTACTCTGCTTCATGCAACACACGTGCACCTTTACTACCTTCACTTGCTTTCTATCAAACAAGAGCAGCTGGTGATTGAACCACCAACCTTCTGATTAGTACCTGCCATTAGCCATCACATCTCAAGTCTGCAACACCCACTCCCCTGCACGCTATCCCCTCCTGAATCAGCGGACAGTCTGCCAGACTACCTTGATAACAAAGAGTGCTAAATGAATGTTTGGTTACCTGTAAAGCTCTTTGAGTTGTCAGCACTTTATTGACACCATGAAGGAAAGGTACAAAGAGATTATGAAAAGTGACACTTTTCACATAAAACTAATGTAAAGTAGCTTTACAATTCAATTTTATTTACACAGCGCCAAATCACAAAAACAGTCGCCTCAAGGCGCTTTATATTGTACAGTAGATTGTAGAATAATAGATTCAGAGAAAACCCAACAATATTTTGACCCCCTATGAGCAGGCACTTTGGCGACAGTGGGAAGGAAAAACTCCCTTTTAACAGGAAGAAACCTCCGGCAGAACCAGGCTCAGGGAGGGGCGGGGCCATCTGCTGCGACCGGTTGGGGTGAGAGAAGGAAGACAGGATAAAGACATGCTGTGGAAGAGAGACAGAGGTTAATAACAGATATGATTCAATGCAGAGAGGTCTGTTAATACATAGTGAGTGAGAAAGGTGACTGGAAAAGGAAACACCCAGTGTATTATGGGAATTTGAGGACTTAGTTTTCACAGGAGCTACAGTATCCAGAGTCGTACGTAGTGAGGAGGTAAAATTATTAATAAGATGATCGACCTCTGTTGGAGCAGCGTTCAGATAGCTGCTCTGTGTTGGTACAGGGCATTGAAGATGATAACAGTGGGTGGATTATATTCTTAAACACTAGCTGTGTCCAAATTCATGGGCTGCATCCTCCTGAGGACCCGGCCTTCGCGGGTTAGGCCGGAAAGTAAACGGCCGTGAAATTGGATGGTCTCGCCTTCTGATTAGCGTCACCGCTGTCTCGGTGGAGTTTAATAAACTCAGCCGTCTGCTCCTTGCTATCTAAAATATTACAGGACACTGGCATAAATTCTCGACCGTCTCATACTTCTGTTTAATCAGTTTTCTGTTTGACGTTTAGTCAGCTGTGTGAAAACCAAGGAGGAACCCACCCGGGGATCAATAAAGTTTTATTTTGTCTAATCTAATAACTTTAATTTCAGCCAAACCGATTTACTCACGAACAAACAAAACACTGAAAAAAGACAAACAATAACATTTTTAGGTTGTCTAAGTGACTTATATATCACGTTTAACCCGAGCAGGGAAAGTCCGCGGTAATCTGAACATGATGTGCCGGGAGTTGTGCCGTTCTCTGCGGCTCTAGTGATGCTCGAGCTCTCAGCTAGCTATCGAGCTGGTGGGTAACAGACGTCTCCGAAAACGTCGAAGCACTTTTGCAAATGTCTTGATAAACTGAGCAGATATTAGAAGTTTACACACCCACATCGCCTGAAAATATGTTTAAAATTTATTTTGGGACCCAGAAAGATTAGTATGAGTAATTTTAAAACTTAGTAGCGGCCGCCATTGCCAGAAACTGGAGTTTGGCTGGGCCGCGCTATGAATTCTGGGATATGGTGGGCCACGAAGGACACACCCGACCCATCCTTCAAATTCGGGGAAAAGGAGGACGCATTTGTCGGCTGCATTCGGAGGAGTCTACGAATTTGGACAGGCTTCGGCGCGTCGCTGTGATGTAATCGGTCTACAAATGCGGCCTCAGGAGGAAGCAGCCCATGAATTTGGACACAGCTTTAGTTACAGCACTTTCAGAGAGACATCTGTGATAAAGTCTACTCTCCACTGCTGTGTAATCAATTATTGTAAATGTAAATGTTATCAGGAAATGATCAGACAGGAAAGGGTTTTCAGAAATATAAGTCAGATCATGCATCAGTACATTTCCATATTTTTATATCTATAAAAAGAAAGCTGACACTTGTGAGACTTTATCAAAGGTGTGAGCGTCACAGCAGAGGCCTTTGTGTCAAAGTAGCTGAGGATAAAACACAGAAAAGCATGAAGGAGAATTTCCTGGCCTGGATTTTATAAAAATATTCTGCAGTAGATCAAAAACGAAAGAAAACCATGAATCAACACATGAACATTACCTGATGCTGCTGAAGTGAAACAGAGCAAAGTTACAGAGGTTTTAGAGACACAGCGTTTTGCATTTTGCACAATTTTAAAAAGTTTACATTTGTTCAGTATTGAACAGCAGAAATTAGGTTTTCTTTTCGGAAGTAAGTAAAAGGAAAAGAACAGCGTCCGACAGGCTGTGAACAACGGTAGACTTGTGCGTAACAAGCAAGCGAATAATGCAGAAAACAGATTTTTAGACGGGAAACTGTTGTTGGAGAGAGAGAGAGCTGTGCATCGTGGTGGAAGCAAAACAGCAAAAGTCAGAGTGAATTCATGACGATGTTTATGTGAAGCGTAGTTTGGATCTTCTTTTGCTGCTGGTTCGGTCAATGTTGTTTGGAGAGCGATAAAACTAACAGCTTCAGAATCAGCGCAAAAAGGACGTAAACACAAAGCTCGACCCGCCGACACATCAGACTCAGCGAGCTGTCGGCTTTCAGCCCCGACCGTGTCCGTGCCGTCAGGTGAGAAAGGCGACATCTCACTGATCCTGATCCGTCGGCGGGTCGAGCTTTGTGTTTACGTCCTTTTTCCGCTGATTCGATCCATCGGCGGAGTTTCGGGCAAAATAAATTTATATTAAAAAAATCTATTGAGGATTTTAATGAATCGATATCACGTTATCCAAGCTAGAATCGATTTTAAATGGTAAAACGATAATCAAAACCCACCCCTAGTTGCCGGTGTCTCTAGCTTCACATGTCTGAGAACAGAATCACCAATTACCAGAGCCGCCCTCTTTCCCCAGCTGCTCGGGGTCTGCCGAGAAACAGCTAGCGGGGCCTACGCTATCTTCGGCTGCACCAGCTACAGGGGCCTGGCTAGCTACGGGTGAATGAAGGGTGCGAAGCAGAGTCTCCAATTCAGTAATCCTGGCCTCCAGAGCTGCAAATATGCTACATTTGTTACAGATATCATTACTGCTAAAGGAGGCCGAGGAGTAACTAAACATCTGACACAATGAGCAAGAAAGTGCAGGAGGGACAGGTGAAGAGGCCATGCTGCTAGCGAGTTGGTTACGAGCTAGCAGCTTTACAATGAATACACACATCCACTGTATTAGCCAGAGCTGCTCCCTCAGACCAGACGGAGGTACATGAACACACCGATGCTGACAGCATCACTGTTTGCTCGTCAGAACACAGAAGAGCTCTTCACAAACACAGACGTTCCAATTTCAACTTTTATTACAAACCAAAAACTCAGTTACATCTCGTTTCAGCGGTCAGAGCACAGTCAATGCTGGATGTGTGCATCTCTAATAGCTCTTGGTGGTCTCGTAGGTCTCTGGGAAAGGTATGCTGACGTGTCCACTTCCAGCCACCAGGGGCAGGATTCCAGCGTTGGGAACTACATTCCAGGACAATGTCAAGGTGATGTTCTTATTGGCCCTGACGACGAGAAATAATGACAATCAGCCAATCATGTTCAACGTGTGTGAAAAGCATGTGAAATAAGAGACGACAAAGGCTCCGGGAAAAAATGAACTGCATTATGGGAAACAAATCTCCTTGTCAGAATACTCAGGATGTTTCAAATTTCATGCGTATCATTTTTTTAAACTCAAGACTGGGACTCGACTCTGAGACTGTTACCATTTCCATCAAGCTGCTGATAGACCTGTCTCTATATCAGTCGGGGACTTTAAACATGATCAGTCCTACCGTCTGTAACATCAAACATTTGGGTTCAAATGTTTTTTCTTAAAGTCAAGCTCCAACATTACAGCTTTATTATGAGCCATTGCTGCTAAACGCTACCTTTGATTCAGTTCAGTTTTATTTATTTAGTGCCAAACAACATCACAGCTGTCGCCTCAACGTGCTTTATATTACAAGTTAAAGACCCTACAATAATACAGAAAAAAAACAACAATCATGTGACCCCCTAT